CACTTTGCACTGTTTGAAACCACACACAAATGCACATAAAAGGCCAACTAATATAAACGATCTTGATTGTATCTGTGTTGGGGGTGTAAAGACTTTCAATAAAACCGCCTCATTTGTAATGATCTTAGTCAAGTGTTCTGACTGGACACCATGTGGAAATTGCCTCTGGACAATACTAGCAAACTTTTAAATTGTCTAAATTCATTACATGGTCCTTTGAGCCAGATACAGCAAGTTCTACAGCTCATATGATGTCTGATACAGAAGACGAGTTCTCTGATAGGCCAGTTCACTCCCACTGAGCAATTTGACCACCAAGGTACCTTTACAGACTGATCATGAACTCAAGTGCAGTCAGCCACCCACAACACAACAAAAGCAACAGATCACTTTCCACACAGCATCGCAATACAAAGCCTCATCCTCCTCCAGAGCCAGTTCACCAGTTTCACAGCAGAGAGGGACATCAACAGGATCCACACCATCTTGAGTAGCCAATGAAATTGACAGCTGGAGAGGGTAACTTGCAATATATGATGGGCATATTGAATAGAATAGGATAGTATAGAAAGGATGGGACCATTGACTAGCCAGCACAATGCCTCATCTGTAGGTAGCCATCATAGCCTGAATGTAGGTTGCTTCCCATACTCATGTCTCCATCAGCCTCCTGCTTCACCCAACAGCCTCCCCTCTGGCTTGCCTAGAAGCAGTCACCATCTTTCATGTAGTCGTTTTGAACTCTGGTGCGGATCCTATGTTTCTCGGCTCCTAGCTAAGTTGCCTCATGACCTAATAGCCAGTTTCAAGAGATGTGAGAGATATGTGAGTCCCATTGGAACCCCAATTACTCTTCTTGACCTTGCAGCATGGCTGGAATATGAAGTAAGGGTTCAGGATTGATAGCACACAGTTTAGTGGTCAATATGGCAAGGAATGGGGAAGCCTCCAGCTAAGTCTGCGACCGTTCACCACAGGAGTAAGCAGAAGAGGGGCCACCCTGATAATGGTGCGCAACAATCAGGCTCTTCTGGGGCTGTGATGCAGTCCACCTCTTCTTGTGAAAAGCCCAAGAGATCCTTCCCATTCTGTAACAGAACATTCTGTTCTCACAAAGGAGCAGATCAAGTGGTAGATCAGATCCTATCAGAGGTGTTGGAAATGTGGAAAGGAACACCCACCAGCCTAGTGCATGCTGAAAGCCAGGTGCAACAAATGTGAGGAGCACCATGTAGGGTCAACACCTGCAGCAGTGAAAAAGCAGGTACCAGAGTAAAAAACACTACTACAGACCCACAGTCAGGTATTATTGAACATGAGCTGAGTCATCTTACTAAATGGTGATAACCCACTTGACACTTACAATCAACCAAAAAAGACCTTCAACATCCATAGAGCATTCACTGCCCAAGAGCCTGGTCTGGGTCCACATATTTACCCAGTTGCAGCACCTAATTACTCCAACTGAGCCAGTTCATTTGGGCCCCCCGGAGGACCAACTGCAATCATGACTCAGCAGGAATGGTCACTTCAAGGCCCCTCCAAATGTCTGAAGCAGAGTGTTTCTTCTCAGCAGTGTCTCCTGACAGCAATCATTCCCTCTGCCTCTGAGCTATTCAGTAATGTAGACAAACTTTGGCAGCTTGCCTTACAGAAGTGACACTTTGCCTTTCAGAAGTGAAAAGCTGGTAACTCAGCCAAGACAGGATACAGAGGCCATTTGGGCTCAAAATGAAAAGAATTGTTTTCAACTGCTCATTCTACTACAAAGAGCACCAACTTGAATGAATTAAAAGCTGAACTGGATGTTCTACAATAAGCCCAGAACAAAAGCTTTCCAGATGAGATTGCCCAATTACAGGCAAGCAGAGCAGTCTCTACAAGCAGCCAACTAGCCACACTGGCCCCAGAATATGATGCCAACACCCAGCTCATTCGTGTCAGAGGCTGTAATTGGAAGTTTAAGCATCTAAGCCAGAAGGTCACCCAACTGTGCTGGACCCAGCACATCAGATCACCAAAGTGCTCATTAAACTCTGTGACAACCAACTCTATCACCCTGGTCTGGAGAGGGCATTTGCAGAGATCAGAAGACATTTCTGGCTCCTTAGAGGCAGAGAAGCAAAGATGTCTATGCTGACCTCCTTTCCATTATGGATTCCGACACCTTCATGATGTCTGTTTTGTGGCTCAAAAAGGAAAGCCACATGAAATCCTATGTGATTGAGGAATTTCAAGGGTGGTGACAATACACTGCAAGTGGCCTTCCATGTCTCCTGCCATCTCTGAAAAACCAGCTTATTGCTCAAAAAATTGACTTCTGCTTTAATCCACCTAGTGCCCCCACTTTGTTGGCTCATGGGAAAGGGAGATACACTCAATCAAGACAGCCCTGTAATCTGTCATCAGAGGACAGACCATCGCTGCAGAAGGACAGTTTTTGGTTCAGATCGAAGGCATACTTAACTCCAAGCCTCTTGGGTATGCATTCTCCAATGGTTCAGACCCAGACCCAATCACTCCAAAGACCTTCTTTATGGGGTGGTCCGAATAATCTCTACAGCAAATGGTATATCCTGAGTTACAGCTACTGAGTTGAAAGAGGCAGAGGCACAGCCAGTACCTGACTTCATCCTTCATTACTTACCATCACTGCAGACTTACCATCATTGCAGAAATGGTTGAAGGAGAATAAGTGGTGATGATCCTAGACCCTCAGGGCCCAGTGGCCCTCAGGCTCATCAGAACAGTCACCCAGGAGCTGACAGAAGAGTCAGGACTGCTGAAGTCCTGGTCAGAGGATCACAGAGCATGTGAGCTAAGCAGAGTGGTGTGACTCAAATGGTGTTCACTCAAATCTTGCTCATGAAATATCTCTGTAGTATACTTGTTTCTGTTTGTAATACATTGCTAGAATAAATGCCTCAATTACAGTAGTAGAGATAATATTTATGATATTTATGGGTGACATTTTGTTGCAGCATGTGCCTTTTATTAATTTTATTAATATATTTAAATTTATTAAATTAAATTGATTAATTTAACAGATGTCTAGCTAGCCCCTTGGTAAACTTATATATAAAAGGCAATGTGCCACTTAAGATTCCAGAAGAAATCTTTGCTAACTCTCACAGTCTGCCTTTCAATTGCTTCTCCTTCCTCGCTCTTAACTTTGATTTTTACTGTGCATTTATGTATAAGGATTGCAAATTCATTAAAACAAGGTTTGAACTCCATAACCTTAGACCCATTATTTATTTCCAGTTTCTCAAACCAGCATATCACAAAGTGCATTCTGGGCAAGCGGTGCTGAACAGTCTGAGTGAGCAGAGCGGAATCTTAAGAAAGGTGCTCTCCGCTCCAGTGGAATTATCAGTGCTCTGCTCCACTCCCGCTCTGCTCCACTCACATGCTCTGGCATGTATCTCCGCCCAGTGGCAAGATTAATTAGACTCCCTACAGTCTCCAAGGACAACAAATAGATGGCCTTTTAGAAACAAACCTGTACAATAGATTTGTGGGCAGCTCTACAAAAGGTCAACATATCCTTGGGTTTGACTGCTGACTTCACTTTGTTCTATTTGTCTGGTACAGGTTTTTGAGCAGGCAACAGGTTCACTACCTACTGGCCATACTCAGGACCTCAGTTAGGACCATTTGACCCTGATAACTAATACTATGCAGCAATATGCCAAATCATATAGTGTTACTTTGTTGGACTCTCCTTCACTCATGCATTGTTTGATTGATTTGGCACTTGGTAATGCTGACTGTGTCAATTAGTATAAAAAAGGGTCAATTAATATGAAAAAAGCTTGATTGTGTGTGGGTGTGAAAAAAACAATTACACCCATATGTGCTTGTGGAACATCCCGTTAAATATTTAGTCCCACTTTGCTTTTATAATAACCTCCACTCTTCTAGGTAGGCTTTCTACTCAGTTTTGTAGCATGGCCTTGGGGATTTGTGCAGTTGAGTATGCATTTCACCTCCTGAAGAGGAGGTGAAACCCCCCAAAACAAACAACAACTGAAAGAAGCTGTGGTATAAGCCTGGCACAGTAAAGTATCACAAAAGAAGAATGCAACAGTTTGGTGATGTCAGTGGGTCCCTGACTTGATGCAGTTATTGCAAGTAAGGGATATGCAACCAAATATTAAGTGTTATTTACTTTGATTTACTTTAAGACAATCTCTTCCAATACTTTTACTCACCTAAAAATCCTGTGGTCTGCCACCAAAGGTGCCATGTTCTAAGTTGTTTAACACATCTAGATTTAAATATCAGGAAATGGAAGTTGAAATTCTGATCTATTGTCTCATATTCATGTTTTGATCTCAAACCCAAATGTCTTCAGTGTATAGCAAAAACAAAAGAATTGGCCTTACCATTCCAATACTTTTTTAGGGGACTGTATATAGGGCAAAGTTGACTCAAGACAGGTGGAGCTGATGGCCACTGATTATGATTAAAACAGTGCTCTCTGCCTCCCTCTAGTGATGCCACAATGTCAAGTCAGCTGTCTACTAACACCACAATCCATAACAAAACATCAGTCTCTCATGCCTATTTGGAGTTCTATTTGGAATTCTTCACATCACGAGGAAATACGCAATTATTTTTACAGCTGTCGGTTCCCCAAGAACGTAATAGACTGTGCCATGGCCCGTGTTAACACTAATGATTGAACAGATGCACTTACCTCTACACATTCCACTTCAAAGACAGAGAGAATTCCTTTGGTTCCTTTTCTTTGGCTCACTTATCTTCCCACTAAATTCCAAACCCAATAAAATGATGACAGAAATTACATTAAAAAATTATAAAATCCTCCAGGACAATCCTGAGGCAACTTTTGTCCTGTCTGTAGGAACCTTTACTCATCTCCTACAGACGGGACAAAAACCTCAGAGACATGTTTGTCAGGAGTGAATTAAATGATTATCCTAATATAATCTGTGACACTCTTGCATGCAACCATTCTAGCTATTGTCTCACAGGGCAGTGGTGGCTGAACGGTTAAGGCTCTGGGTTTCTGCTTGGAAGGTTGGGGGTTCAAGCCCCCGTGCTGCCACTGTTGGGCCCTTGAGCAAGGCTCTTAACCCTCTCTCCTCCAGGGGCACTGTATCATCTCTGACCCCTGCTTCCTAACAAGCTGGGATTTGTGAAGAAAAGAATTCCACTGTGCTGTAATGTATATGTGACAAATAAAGGCTGCTTCTTCACTAGAGGAGTTCTTAAAATTGTCTTTCCTGTAAATGATGTAATGAGCTATTCACTGGAGAAACCAAGAGATGACTGGCTAGTAGTTTTGTCGAGCACATACATACCATCAGAATGAAGGATTTCTCCTTTCCAGTGGCAAGACACTTCAACAGCGATGGGCATAACATTAATGACATCTCTGTGTGCATCACCAGATGTTGTCATGGGGGCAACAAAGTGAGAAAATGTAAGGCGAAGGAGGTCATTTACAATCTCGGACTTTAGATCCCTATGGAATGAATGTCATGTTTTGAATACAGCTATTAGATCATCAAACATTTTGAATATCCACTTGTTTCACTACAGCCTCAGAAGCACTCTGCTTACATAGCTGATAAAGGACTTTTGTCCAAAACAATGTTTCACTGCAACTTTGTTAATTAATATAATTTATAACCAAGTCTGTTCAAACCTGACATAGTATTTCCTATATCACTTAAATGCAAGTAAATGCACGTTCTCTCAGAGGTTAATTGTTTAAAAAAACCCCACACAATTATGTGACTCAAATGCTCATATACACTCACCTTACACTTTATTAGGAACACTTGTACACCTGGACATTCACGTAGTAATCTAATCACGTGGCAGCAGCGCAATGGAAAAAAATCATGCAAATATGATATTAGGGAAAAAAATATCACCTGGTCTTTTTCCCATCTTCAGCTGTCCAGTTTAGGTGAGTCTGTGCCCATGATAGCCTCAGATTGCTGTTCTTTGCTGACAGGAGTGGAACCTGATTTGTTCTTCTGCTGTTGTAGACCATCCACCTCAAGGTTCGATGTTTTGTGCATGCTGAGATGCTTTTCTGCTCACCACGGTTGTAACGAGTGATTATATGATTATATATAGCCCTCCCGGCAGCTTAAACCAATCTGGACATTTTCCTCTGACCTCTCTTATCTACAAGGCATTTCCACCCACAGAACTGTTGCTCATTCTATGTTTGTCTGTTTTTTGCACCATTCTGTGTAAACTCTAGACTTTTGTGTGTGAAAATCCCATGAGATCAGCAGTTTCTGAAATATTCAAACTAGCCCTTCTGGTACGAACATCCATGCCACGATCAAAGTCACAGAGATCACACTTTTCCCCCATTCTGGTGTTTGATGTGAACCTTTCCTGAAGCTCTTGACCTGTATCTGCATTTTTTTTTTTTTTTTTTTTTTTTGCATTGTGCTGCAGCCACATGATTAGCTGACTAGATAACTGTATGACTGTGCAGGTGTACCGGTGGCTCTGACAAAGTGGATGGTGAGTGTCAGTAAGACCTGGCCCATGAAGAGCTTGATGAAAAAGGGGCATTGTAATTTTGAGGGCTGTTAGGCATTGCGCCATGTTTTCTGGTACCAAAAGATGGCGCTGCTGGTATAGCTTATGTGACATAAAGCTCTGAATTATTGCACGAGTTAAGACCACACGCTGATAATCCACACCTTTGAACGTCAATACTTTATTTAAATAAAAAATAAAAAAGACAGACAAAGAGAGAGAGGGAGAGAGAGAAAGAGAGAGAGAGAGAGAGAGAGAGAGAGAGAGAGAGATTACACCTAGGTTTGTCATTTTAGCTGAGAATTAAATTATCTATCTGCATCAGCATCATTGTATACAATTTTCTAAAATAGAGCCTACAGTAACAGTAAAGTAAAGTTACAGTAAAGTTTTTAACCATGCCATTATGTTGAATAACTAGGCCTAAATTATGAAGAATTGCACGTGTATAGTGTTAGACCTGTGGAAGTTCGGGATTACATTTTTATTTAACTGCGTTTTGGTACAGTGTTGCATATCAAAAATAATAAATGTCAACTCAGTAATTAAAGATTAAAGACTCGAGTAATTACTACAAGACCAGCGCTATTATAACTTGCATTCTGAAACCATCAATAAATAAATCTGGCGTTTCACGTTTTAATCGAGCTTCACTTTTGGATCTTGATCATGCTTAAATTCTAGTAATTTCATAACATTTTATTTATTATATTTAGAGACAGCAGCGCATTACACGGCTAGAACACGCACGAAGACGATTAATCACCTGCACACACAAGGGCCTGGACACAGCGCGTGAGTCTCGCGCTCTTAAAGTCAAATTTTTAATGGCACTGAGCAACTGAGGTGTGACTCGTGCGCACGTGCGTTATGAAGGCGCGTGAAGGACTGTTACTAGTTAAACAGAGCTAAACACCCACTCAAACAAGTACATAACTACTCTCAAACAAGTACAGCAAACAAATACTACTCAAACAAGTACATAACTACTCTCAAACAAGTACAGCAAACAAATACTACTCAAACAAGTACATAACTACTCTCAAACAAGTACCTCAAACAAATACTACTCAAACAAGTACAGCAAACAAATACTACTCAAACAAGTACATAACTACTCTCAAACAAGTACAGCAAACAAATACTACTCAAACAAGTACATAACTACTCTCAAACAAGTACAACAAACAAATACTACTCAAACAAGTACATAACTACTCTCAAACAAGTACCTCAAACAAATACTACTCAAACAAGTACAGCAAACAAATACTACTCAAACAAGTACATAACTACTCTCAAACAAGTACAACAAACAAATACTACTCAAACAAGTACAACACAAAAATGATAAAAGCTATATATGTATATACACATACATACATACATACATACATATATATATATATATATATATTTACCATTAACACTGTGTGTGTGTGTGTGTGTGTGTGGAATCTGGAAAGACAAATTTGGTTCCAATATTTGTGTGTGACTCTTATGATTCTTATAATCAATGTGTCCTTACATGTTTACTGTGAGATCTTAAAATAATAATAATAATAATGATAAATTATTATTATTATTATTATTATTATTATTATTATTATTATCATCCCTGGTAGTGTCCTGTTTTGCCATATTATTTAGTAAGTGCATGGATTGGGACAGCTCCACTACCTGAGGCGACTCTCAGGTTTCACTCGAGTTGCTCCTGCGTCAGCAGCAGCTGTGAAGGAGATTGCTGTGGCCTCAAGAAGACGACAGTAAAGACTTCAGCTGAGAGCTTTTAAAGAAGACCAAAAGGACTAGTACATTTTAAAGCCCTGTGGAAGTATTAATCAGGTGTGCAAGGTAAAGTATCTGCTGTTGACCCACCATTTGTTGTGATGGAAATAGGGACAATTTAGGTAAAGTTCCCCAGAACTGAAGCATTACAGCTCATTCTGTTGCCTAGCTAAATATTCATTATTATGTAATTTTATATTACTGTGATTATTATTCATTCATTACTCTTTCTTTCTTTCTTTCTTTCTTTCTGTGATGAATCAATTGATATTACTAGAACAGGGCTAAATCAATTTTGCCCCACAACAGAAGAGATTACATCTTTTTTACTTGGGGCAGTGTTCATCTAGATGTTTGTATATTCTTTTGGCATGTACACATCTGAATTTTTTTCCCTACCTGCGTCTGTTCAGTGAAGTCTAAACATGTATGCATAAGTGTATATTTGTCCCAGAAGGACTACATTTGCTGTGACGGTTTTTAATTACATGCTTGGGAGAGATCCATAAAATGGGATACATTTACTCATTAGAGAGATTAAATTGCTTACACCATCTCTCTGCCTCTTTCTCCTGTAGACACACTCACACACTCATTTATTCTTTGACACCACTTTTGCACATTAGACTAAGGAAGTACACTGTTAAGCCCTGTGTACCAGTTGGAGTGTGTTCTGTTGGAGTCCATATCTTTTTCCCATTGCCTGAGGTGGGTTGGTGTTAAAAATAGTTTATGCCTTCATTTTAAGGCTTGATTGATGCTGTTTGAAGTGCTCAGTTTTACTCCACTGTTCCTCCACTGTTAATCCACATTGCTCTAGTCAGTGGTGTTGGATGATGGTCTTGTGGCTGTGCTTAAACCCACTCGCCCTCTTATTTTGAATCAGTAACCTGCAAGGCAAGAGCATCTTATTATATAGTCTGACCAACTTGCTGAACAGAGAGGCACTCGTGTACTGGACTGGAGTTTATTTTCTTATGTACATTATGAATGACTGTCTTCCATTTTATATGTAAGTAATGTGTAAATTTATATAAAGAGAGTGAAATTTATATAAAGAGAGTGTTGTGTCTATTCAGATTGTGTTTGTGTGTTTAAAATACATCTATTACATGGCACTTGTTTTAATTATGTTTAAGCCGAAAGCAGAAGAATATGCTGGATTTCTCTCTAATAGTTAATCAGAGGTAAAGAATGGAATAGAACTGACACCCAGTATATTAAACATATGGAGTTGTAAGAATGGAGGTAAGCTTTGCAGTGTGTAATCTCGTCCCTTAGTGTGAGCGTGTGTATGTGTGTTAGAGCATTAAGCATCACATGCTCTTGGACACAGAAGGTGATGGTTTTGGGTTTCTTCACTGGGGACACGTGATCAGTGAGCGAGTCTCTACCTCTTTCTCAGCCTAATGTGGGCAAAGGGTGAAATAAGGTTTGAAGACATGGATTTCAACCCAAAATCCACATTCTCAGTTGGCCAAATGGCTTTATACTTTCCATTATGCTCGTATTAATTTCAGTATCATAATAAGCAACAAGGCAACACTAAGGACTTCGTAAGTAAACATCATAGGCATAAACATCATAGGCTGGTGCCTCAGCAGCATATGGAAACTCAGATTAGTTTCTCTTTATCAGTTTTTTGAGGCTTATGGGTTTGTGGTCATAGAATACGAGAAATAGACACCTAGTTTTCCAAAGTACCTTACAGAAATCATAATACCATTTGTGGAAAAAATTGTGAGAACC